AGATTGAGATCAGTTTTTCAAACCTAATTCAATCCTTGATATATATTGAACATTGGCAGACCTAAAACAAGGCTAGAGAGAGGCGCAAGAACAAGAACAAAACTTGAAAAAAATCATAAAAAGTGCTGAGTCGAATTCATACTTTCAAGCAATTACAAAGCCTCCTAACCATCCCAATCGCTTCCTGGAATCACCAGCAAGCAAAACCAATCAAGAACAAGCGCTTTCAGGCACTACAACGCACTGTAAGTTAGCCACGACCTTGGTTCCTTCTTGAATTCGAATTGCATCATTCTGATACTTATAGCATGAGATAATCATATATTTTTATTCCTTAATACATTTGCAAGCTCTCTGTAACATTTAATTTCACTTTCATGGCCTGCATTAGAGTTTGCCATTGTTAGGGTTTGGTGCTTCAATTTGGGATCTTTATGCACATGTGAAATTGGGCCATGAAAGGGGCACCATCAAACTCAGTAGGTCTAGACGAACTGATTCATGGCCTTATATTTCATTTATCTTGCTTGTGCTTGATTTTGAGGAATTGTAGGGTTGTAGCGACGGACATTGTCCGTAGGTAAAAGTGTTTCACTTTTAACAACGGAGCAAGGACAAGGATGACCAGCGTGGCATCATCCTGTTGGTCCATTCAAATTTCTGGCGCGTTTTTTTTTTGTTTCCTTCACTAACTCCATTTATTCCATATTATCTATTATTATTATTTTATATACAAAGCAAACAGCTAGCGCGGTTGGTAGTGGAGTGAGTGCAAAAGACATCAGGGCCTGGGTTCGAATCCCGGGTCCCCCAATTCTTTCATAATATTTTTCTTTCAGTGATCATACGCGCGCACGAGACCAACGACTACCATATATCCTCATAATCCAACTTGCCAAGTGTCTTGAGATCCAGATCTGAAGGCCATCATTGAAGGAGCATCATAGGCCATGGTCAAAGCAATGCACTGGATTCAGGAAGTCAACATGGACCTCAGATTTTTGGGCCCAAGATTTGCTATCAGCACCCCCAAAATTATTTTTCAGGCCCATTATCTCTTTCTCTTTTCTTTTACATTTTTTCTTTATTAACCTATTTATTTTTATTTACTAACAAATTAATTATTTCTTTTATCAAAAATCATAAAAATAATATTTTTCACCCAACTAGACTTAGGTTTAATTTTTATCAATAAATTAATTAATTTAATTAGATTTTAATTTTAGGTAACTTTAATTTCTTTTTGTAAATAAATTAAAATTAATTAGAACAATTAGGTTGTTTGTCTCTAACTTAATTATATTTTCTTTTTCTTAAAATAACCAAAAACACAAAAATAGGTTAAATGTAATTATTTTCTTTAATTAATTTAATTGCTAATTAATTTTGTATTTAATTTAAAAACCTAATTCTTTTTTCTTAGAAATAATTAAAAAAACAACAAAAACATTTTTTCTTCCAATTAGGTTAGACGGGGGTCAAAACCCTAGGTTCTCTCTCGTTCTTGACTATTCGCGCGCGCTTTATTATTATTTTTTCCATATTAATGTAATTGCTCACAAGTTGTAATAGATTAATTAGGACCTTTTACTTTCATTTATCATTTTTTTAAGGGTTTGTTTTTGGCTATGTAAATACCTGAAGCCTTGTAATAGCGTAGTTTAATTTCCGCACTTTAAATTCCGCAAAAATGCCAACTGTTAGATGTATGAATAATAGGGATGCATGACAAGAATGTATGATTAATTTTAAAACGGTTAGCAAACCCTAAATGTGCAAAGATAATAAACTTGAAATTGAATCACTCGCACATGCGCACTCCTAGGGTATACTCCACTTCGGTTGCCTTTGGTAAACGGTCATTAGGTATAGGATATCTTAGTGGTCGCTCTCTTGTCTAAACAAAGATCAAAGTCCCTTTCGAAATAGTTGCCCCAGAATTGTTGCCTTGAATAAATTGATCTTAAGACATTAGGGTTACTACTAAGACGTCCTAACATTGCTTTAGTGACCGTACGTCCCTTTCGAATTGACCCTTAAAACTCCGACGACGGTGCTACCGACTCACTAATAGTGGGATAGTGCTGTCTAAAGGAAACAAACATAGAACAATTCCTTTTTTCGAGTAGGTAGATTAGCTCTTAAGTATTTGCTCAATCCAAACAAACTTTTTCACACTTACACTCCTTTTCAAACAAAGTTTTCTAAAAAAACACTTCGTAACACTCTTGAAGACAGAAGCAAGAGTTAAATCGAAGTCAAAACAAAAACTTTTCAAATCACACAAACACACAGAAGCAATTTTGAAAATGATGAGCAAGTACCTAAGAGCCCGTAGATAACTACAGATAGAAAGGGTGCTAATACCTTCCCTTTCTATAATCTACCCCCGTACTCAGAAAATCTCGAAAAATGAATTTTTCTGTGCTTTTTTCCTTTCCTTGTTGGATAAAATAAAAGTAGGTGGCGACTCTTGCTTACCGCGACATTTTGCGAACACAAACGCAAAATGCAAACCAGCATTCCTAAAAACAGTCCCGGTTCTGGCCACCGTATCACACTTGGTAATAATAGGTAGCTGCAAGAAGGACATCAAAGACTTCAAAGGTGATCTCAGCAAGGAATTCGAAATGTATGATTTAGGTATCATTTCATATTTCCTTGGCATTGAATTATACAAAAATAGTAGAGGTTTGATGATGTATAAAAGAATATATGCAGGAAAAATTCTCAAGAGATTTGAGATGTAAGAATGCAACTCGACTTCGACACCTGCTGAACCAAGGTTGCCACTATTGAAAAATTCAGATGAAGATGATGTTGACCCAACCCAATACAGAGACTTACTGGGTCATTACGATACCTTTGTCATACGAGGCCTGACTTGGCATACAATGTAGGTATGGTAACTAGATTCATATAGAAGCCAAAGGTATCACACCTAGCAGCGACGAAGAGGATATTGAGCTATCTGAAAGGAACCCTCGACTATGGCATTTTGTTTTCTACAACCGATAAAGTAAAAGAACACAAGTTAGTGGGATACACTGATTCAAGTTGGTGTAGTGATGCTGAGGATTGAAAATCCACATCAGGATGTGTTTATGCTAGGTGGTGCACCTGTTGCTTGGAGTTTGAGAAAAGAACCAGTAGTGGCATTATCATCGTGCGAAGAAGAATACATAGTTGTTTCTTTTTGTGCATGTCAAGCAACATGAATGGTGAATTTGGTCGAAGAGATAACAGGTAAAGATCATAGAGCAATTACCATGAAGATCGACATCATGTCAGCTATCAATCTGGCGAAGAACCCGATAGCACATGGTCGAAGCAAGTACATCGAAATGAGGTTCCACCATCTTCGAGATCATGTAGTAGATGAAAATATGAACTTAGAACACTGCAGAATTGAGAATCAGATTGCAGACACCATGACGAAGGGAGTGCAAGTCAAAGTGTTCAGAAGACTATGAGTTATGGTGAATGTAGAAGCTTAGACACAATGAATTATGTGGTGTGTTAAAAGTGTAATTCCTCGCATCGAAATAGGTTGTTGCTCGACACAAGGTGTGTCAAAACACTTAGTCTGTCGAGTTGTATGTTATTGTCGAAGTATTATAAGCAGGTTGCTACACACAGATTCAATTTAGATCCAAAATAGGTATTTTGGGCTTTTTTGTTTTGAGTTTTGGCTTAGAGAGCAAACTAACCTAAAACTATAAATACAGGGAGTAATCCTTATTTTTGTAATCAACTCATAACAACTTGTATTCACAAAATTTTCTTTTCTTTTCATTGTTATTGTGTGGTGATAAAAATCTGATTCATCAAAATTGATAGAAACTCATCATAGATTTTAGTGGATTTCTAACAATGTGTACATTCTTATATTTCTTCTTCAAATTGTTTTATACTAAATAACATTACTCCTTAATAAAATTATAACCTTAGAACTTAAATAAATAACTTTCTTGAATAAAAGTTGTACGAAATTCTCTAATTCCTAATTTCAGGAAATAAACGTTGTTGTCGAGAGTTGAGTGGGGACCAAAAACTTACGCGTTTAATCTAACTAACAATTGTCAAATGAGTTATTCCACTCATGCTACCTTCTTTGATGCTAGATCCAACTTCATTAAGCACCTTACATTTCTCATTTCCATTATAGTGACCCTTCTACTAGTTATATCATCAAATGCAATTATGATGGCAATTCCAAAGGGTCTATTGACATTGCACTTTGTAGGGGTATTTTTAGGGATCTACATTATATTACCTCTCCAATGATAAAAAAATATGTCTTTCTCATATACTTGATAAAAATTTGAAAATACCTTTTTTTTAAGTTATTTTTCGAATGCATTTATATTTTTCAATTGATTTTACTTTCTGAAATGTAAAAAAAAAACATTATCTTTTTGAAAGATATCTCCCGAAGTCTAAATCATGTTGTCGAAATGTGAACTTATGAAATATAATTAGTTTTTTAAACCCTCTAATTTAAGACTTTTTCTTATTCAATTATTATGTTTGGTAACACAACTAATCTGTATTTCAAAATCACATGCCTTTAATCATTCTATAATGTACACTATATTTCTTTTTAATAATTCATAATTTGGTTTTGTTGGAAATATAGAACTTGTCTAGAAGATATCTCACGGAACATTTTAAATTTCTCCTAGATGATACTCCTAGTTCAGTGTAATAGTTGTTTAACTCTATTCACTTTCAATGGTTAAAGGTATGATGCAACTTGATATTGTCAACCCAACTAATGCATCCGAGGCTTGTATGTTGGATGTTTCTAAATCCGATGTTGCATATATAAAAAAAACATAGAGACGTGCAAAATATAAAAAGTGAATAGCGGTGGGAAAGAGTAATATTTGAGATTTACGAAATTGTCCCTGTCTTATAAAAATAACTTAATTTTTGGTTTGTTTTGGATCTCTATCTATATATAACCTTTGTTACAGCTTGGCAATATATATCTGAAAATGGGGTTAAGTATACTGTTTGCTGTGTTCTTCCTATCTTGTGTAAACCTTGTGGAACTCAAAGACTCATCATCACCTTCTTGTGCTTTTCCTGCAATCTACAACTTTGGAGACTCTAACTCTGACACTGGAGGCATATCAGCCGCATTTGTACCAATTCCTGCACCATACGGGGAAGGCTTTTTTCATAAACCTTTTGGAAGAGACAGTGATGGTCGTGTCATTCTTGATTTCATAGGTAATCTATATCAAAATTTAATCTCATCTCTTACTTATATCATATATATGCTTTATTAAGCAATTTATCTAAATTGTGCAGCTGAGAAGGCTAACTTGCCATATTTAAGTGCTTATCTCAACTCACTTGGAACCAATTATAGACATGGAGCAAACTTTGCAACTGGTGGATCTACTATTAGGAAGCAGAATGAGACTATATTTCAATATGGAATAAGTCCATTCTCTCTTGATATTCAAATTGTGCAGTTCACCCAGTTCAAAGCAAGAACCAAGCAACTTTACCAACAAGGTCAATGTTTGAATCTCTTTGAATACTGATGTGCTTCAACTTCAACAACTTTGATTTTCTTTTATCTCGTTATCATTGATTTTATTTAATGTGTTTGATCTTTGTTTTGTTTCTTGAAAATTTTAGCCAAAGATTCAGTTGAGAGAAGCAAGCTTCCTGTGCCTGAGGAATTCTCTAAGGCACTCTACACGTTTGATATTGGTCAAAATGATCTCTCTGTTGGGTTTAGGAAGATGAACTTTGATCAAATTCGTGAAACTATGCCTGATATAGTTAATCAGTTAGCTTCTGCAGTCAAAGTAAGTATCACTCACTTGTGTCCTTGTTTGACAAGTGATCTATTGGAACATTGGTAGAGAGTCTCTTCTCAATCAACATATTGTTAATTGTGTTAAAACGTTCATTGTTGAATAATTAGGATAAAGGATTTAAATAGCCGTAGTAGTCCTGTCGTAATTTTTGATATTGTGGATATGAGGTTGTTCCACTGTGGCTACCAAGTATTATTGTCCACTTTAGGTGTAGGAATCTGTCACGGTTATGTCTTTTTCAAAGGACAAAATCCTGACAAGTTCTCACACCTAAAAAAGACAATACCGTGTAGCCGCAATGGTAAGTGGAAATTGAGGTTGATCGGAACATCTGTCATCAAATCAAATGCATTTTATGTGGCCTCAATTGCGGTTGCACTATGACTTGGGGAGATATCAAAACCCTGATGTTGCACTTGTAGACATCAAAGAATCTGGTAAGCCAACTTTTGTGAGGTCTGTCCTCCCAACTACATTTTTTCCATCCTCAAGTCTTGCATAAGAGATTTGAGTTCAGTTTCACTTGTACTGATGTAATACTAGTTGCCATGCCATTCTTTAAAACCATTTATGAAATGGTTTTGAAATCTGACCAAATAACTTCATTGCAGAATATTTATGAACAGGGAGGGAGGTCCTTTTGGATACACAACACTGGCCCCATTGGATGTTTACCAGTAAACCTATTTTACAAGCACAGTGTACCAGCAGGCTATTACGACCCATATGGATGTGTAAATGATCAAAATGTGATGTCTGTAGAATTCAACAAGCATCTTAAGGAGAGAGTGATCAAGCTCAGAACAGAACTTCCAGAAGCTGCAATTACTTACGTAGATGTTTATGCCGCAAAATATGGACTAATCAGTAATACAAAAAATGAAGGTAACTTACTTGTTCATTATTGGCATGACCATGTATGTGAAATATAGTTTAACATGCAAAGTTTGATTTTAATTTTCAGGATTTGTGGATCCAATGAAGATCTGTTGTGGTTATCATGTGAATGATACACATATATGGTGTGGAAATTTAGGAACAGCAAATGGGAAAGATGTGTATGGTACTTCTTGTGACAAACCATCCATGTATGTGAGTTGGGATGGTGTTCATTATGCTGAAGCTGCTAACCATTGGGTTGCGAATCGTATACTCAATGGCACTTTCACTGACCCGCCAACACCAATTTCTCAAGCATGTTATAGGCATTGAAACCATGTAATAGGCCTCTCTGATGTTTTGTTTTATGCTCATAAAATAAAAATAGAACATTTCTGTTTACAGATTTCTAAGAGCTCCTCTAGTCACAGTTTAGTAGTTTCACTGTGAAAATATTGTATGTGAAATATGGGTTGGTCACTAGGAAAAAGAAAATCATAAGAATTTAGTGAAGTATGTGATTTATTATGTAGTAAATGAAGTTGTCGAACATACGCTAATCATAGTCGATTTGAACTATTCCTAATTTCTTTTTTAAATTCAGGAATTTGTCGATCTTCAATCCTTTGGTGAAAATGTCGGTCAAATGTGCTTCACTTGAGCAATGTCTTACTTCAAATTTACCTTGATTTATCTTCTCCCTTAAGAAGTGAACTCTAGCTTCAATGTGCTTACTCTTTTCATGTAGAACTGAATTTTTTACAAGATTTATGGCTGACTTGTTGATCTGCAGAACCAGAGGTTTCTTCACTTTGACCTTCATTTCTTCAAACACATATCTGATCCAAATTGCTTGACATGTAGCATAGGATTCTACTATATATTCAGCCTCAGACGATGATAATGCCACCACAAATTGTTTTCTCGGGCTCCATGAGATTGGGCCACCAAAGACTTGAAAGAAATAATCAGTTGTGCTTCTTCGATCTTCTTTATCTCCACACCAATCGATATCTAAACTATTTCTAGTTTCTTTTTCAAATTCAAGAATCTGTCGATCTTCAGTCATTTGGTGAAAATGTCGGTCAAATGTGCTTCACTTGAGCAATGTCTTACTTCAAGTTCACCTTGATTTACCTTCTCACTTAAGAAGTGAACTCTAGCTTCGATGTGCTTATCCTTCCATGTAGAATTGAATTTTTTTTTGCAAGATTTATGGCTGACTTGTCGATCTGCAACACCAAAGATTTCTTCACTTTGACCTTCATTTCTTCAAGCACATATCTGATCCAAATTGCTTGACATGTAGCATAGGATTCTGCTATATATTCAGCCTCACGCAATGATAATGCCACCACGGATTGCTTTCTCGAGCTCCATGAGATTGGGCCACCAAAGATTTGAAAGAAATAATCAGTTGTGCTTCTTCGATCTTTCTTATCTCCACACCAATCGACATCTGAATAGCAAGTAACTGTAGCTTCTTTGCTTTCAGAATCTCGTTGAAATATAATTTCATTGTTTATTGATCCTTTTAAGTATCTCAAGATTCTTCTTGCTACATTCATGTGTGAAACTCTTGGTTCAGTCATGTATTTGCTCGCTAATTCGAATGAGAAACCTATATCAAGTCGAGTGGTCGACCGTTGCACACATATCTCAAAGATTCGACAATTTATTTGAACAAAGTTACATCAATTTTGTCCTCCTCTCCATGTTTCTCCATTTTTAAATTTGGTTCGACAAGCGAATATGTAGGAGTTGAATCATCTATCCAAAATCTCTTGAGTATCTCTTTGACATACTTCCTTTGGTGCAACACCATACCTTGCTTGGTAATTTGAAACTCCATGCATAGGAAACAGGACAAATTTCTCCGATCCGACATTTCAAATTCCCTCATCATCAACTCTTTGAACTTCGACAAGTTCTCCAAACTATTTCCAATTACTAGCAAGTCATCGATATATAAACAAATGGTGTTATATCTTGTGCCACAACCTGAACATATACATCATACTCAAATTTGTATTTGGTGAATCCCAATTTGAGTAAGTATAAGTTGATCTTCTTGTTCTATGTCATATGTGCCTATTTGAGACCATACTTGCCTCCTCCTGAATCACCAACCCAAGAGGTTGTGTGACATAGACCTCTTCGACTAAGGGATCTTTCAAATTTTTGATTTCACATCTAAGTGAAATGTCGACTAGTCTGGCTTGCATGCTAAGGCTATAACCAATCTGATAGTCTCCGATCTTGGGACAAATGCATATACTTCAGAGTAGTTGAGTCCAGCTCTCTGAAGAAATCCTCGAGCTACCAATATCGCCTTATGTCTTGTTATCGACTCATCAGCATTGTGATTCAATTTGAACACCCATTTCATTTAGATAACTTTTGTATGTGCTGGAAATTCAAATAACTCTCATGTGTTGTTTCTTTCGATTGCTTGTAACTTTTCGACCATAGTTGACTTCCGTTGTTTATTCTGTAAAGTCTCGCTATATTGGATTGGTTCAACACCTGCAAGTAAAGAAAAATGAACTAATTATCCATCTAGTGTGACTTCATCATCACCAATCACTTCATAGTCTTGAAGTCTTGCTGGATGAACTCTAGTTCTTTGAGGTCTTTGGCTTTTTCTAGCCACACCCTCTTCGACTTCGACTATTTTGGGAATGTTAGCAACTGCTTCGACTTCGACTAGAATATCATCAATTTCTTCCACTTTGACCTCATTACTTGCTTCATCGAAGCCCTAGCTCATCAATGGCTTATCAATTGCATCACTAGAATTCCAATCCCAGACATAATTTTCATTAATCACAATATCTCAACTCATCACGATCTTCTTATTAATTGGATTGAACGGTTTGTATGCTCCAGTTTTATGATATCCTATCAAAATCATAGGTTCACTCTTGTCATCAAGCTTCATTCTTCTCGCATTAGGAATATGCTTGTAACAAATAGAGGCAAACACCTTGAGATGACGAACTGATGGTCATTTTCCATTCCAAATTTCTTCCAGAACCTTGTTCTTCAATTTTTTTATAAGGGGCCTGTTTAGAATATAAACAGGAGTGGTGACTGCTTTACCCCATAATGATTTTGGCAGATTTTTCTACTTCAACATGCATCTCGCCATATCCAATATGGTTTTGTTTCTTCTTTCTGCAATTACATTATACTGAGGCGTATAAGAAGTAGTTACCTCATGATTTACGCCATATTATGCACAAAACTCTTCAAACATCTTGCATGTGTATTCGCCACCTCTATTTATTCGTAGAACTTTGATCTTCTTCTCACTCTGATTTTTGACAATCATCTTTAATCTCTTAAAGATTTCAAAAACTTTGTCCTTTCTCTTGATCACACAGATCAAAAGCTTTCGGATATACTCATCGACAAACAAAAATACATGTTTTCACCAATGGTATGATCCTCAAAGGGGCCACATACATCTGAATGTATTACTTCTAGTATGCAATAGGATCTCATCAGCCTAGTCGAAATGAAAAACTTTTTGGATTTCTTCTATACTAAGCAACCTTGACATAGTTTGTCGGGCATCACAAGACTTGGTATATACCCATTACCATATCTTAAGTGATCAGTGTGACCTAAAATTCAGATGGTCAAACCTCAAATACCACAACTAACTATTCTTGTAGTCGACAACTATTTTCACATATTGTACCTCAGTCAACTGATCATGGTCTTAAATATCCTATTCTTTGATAGAGGAGATCTCAATATTAAATTATTCAGAGTGACGAACAGTTCCAAGTCTCACTCTTTCATAACCACTGAGAAACCTTTTTTCCGAACAGTTGTCCAACACTTAGCAGATTGCACTTTATTACAGGTACATATAGTAGATCTTTAATCAAAGACTTTGCTACATTTCTCCTTTGAATAATTATGTCTCCAGTACCTTCTACTTGCAATGAGCTATTATCAGCAAGTTTGACCTTTCTCTTCTTCGACTCGTCGAAATATGCTAAACATATTTTTCAACCATTCATGTGATTCGAGCAACCTGAGTCGAGGAACCAGGTCTTAGAGTCGACATGATCATGTGAAACTGCACCCTTCCACCATATCTTCAGAATCATCTGAATCTTGGTGTGCAGGGTTTGCTTCTTCCTCCTTGCCTTTTTTGTCGCTCCCTTAGCTTTCTTGTACCAAAAATTATTGGCCAAGTGATCTCACTTTTCATAGTTATAACATTACACACATTTTTCCCTTTTTTGTCTTTCTGATAGGAGTTTCTTTCTCCTCTTTTTGAAGATTCAGAAGCCTTATCGCCGACCTTATGCTTTTGAGGGTTCGAACAAGACTTTTTGCTCTGAGTCTTGTCTCCTTTTCCTTTGAATTTGTTAGAACTGGCTTGCTTCTTCCATGTCGGATCATGCAGTGCTTGTATCGAATCTTGAACCCATTTCCTTTCGACAATCCTAATCTTATGCGCCTCCAACGAACCAACCAAATCTTTCAGTTTTAGGGTTTCAAAATTGTTAGATTCTTGAATAGCTACGATAACGTGATCAAAGTGAGAGGTCAATGTATGTTAGGGTTTCACCATAAATCTTATGAGATAGACGAGACTCGGCACCTTCGACATATAGTCTACAATCTTTTCATCTTCTCCCATGTGCATCAATTCATATTGTCATTACAAAGTCTGTAATCTGACGACTTTGACTTTCTCACCTCCTTCGTAGTACTTGACAAGAATGCCCCATGCCTCCTTCTCTGATTTAGTATGAGAGATCTTATTGAAATTCATCGAATCTACCACCAGTAGAATGCAATATACAACCTTCAAGTCTTTCTTCTTCGCCTCCTTGTATGCAATTTTCTGCACGTCAGTTATGTCATGAGCAAGCTTCGGAACGCCATTGTTGACCACTTCTAGGATTTCATGAAAACCGAACAAGGACTTCATCTGCTTTCTCCATCGATTCCAATTTTTACCATAAAAAATTTGAAGAAATTCAGAATGACATTACTACCATTCATCTTTTCAGCTATTAATTAATAATCCATGATTCCGAAAACACGGTCACCGACGTGTGATTATTGAAAACACGATTAAGAACCTAACTAGAGCTCTAGATACTAATTTTTCAATGCACGAGACACTTTTAGTGAGGAGAGAAAGAGAGAGATATAATAAGAAAACAAGGATTGATATTATTGAATAATAAAAACTGAATTACATGATGCCCTATTTATATAAAACTAACTAACTTGTATACTAAATAACAAACTTTAACCCTAATCAACTTTGGCTTGAGTTACAAAACTTGGATTATATCACAACAATCTTTAGTTTCACTTTTGAAGTCTTCAAAGTTGGTGTAAAATTAATTTAAAAATGCTTAGTTGCTCTAAGATAGAATTGATTTTGTCTCCAAAATTAATTTTAAGTCGAATTGGAAGCTAAGATTTGTAGTGTTTGAGGACAAACTTAATTCTTACACTAAAATTTATTATTCAACTTGTTTTATGTAAATGTATTCAAATATAAGTTATTTTGTATTCAACTCAATTTTAGTCCGAATTAATTTTAAAGTCAAAGCCTAAATTTATTCTTCAACTAATTATTTATGAAATTTTGTTTATTAATTTGATAGATATTTTTTCTCCGAGTTACTAATGATAAACCATACATGTTATTTGAATTGATAGGGTTTCTTGTACTTTGAGTAACTCATAAAATAACAGTTCCTATTTTAGTCGGTTATTATCTTAATAGTCTTTTCTTTTCTTTATGCATATCAATGCATTTATTGCCAAATGTTAAAAGGATATAAGTTGATAAGATATTACTCTTTTTATGAGATCACTCTAATATTTTTCATTAAACTTTTATCTAGTATCCACCGACACAATTGTTTACCATCAATTGGTCTTCTGGATTACTTTGGTTATCAACATTTTCTTCAACAAGATATTTGCACTTCTTTTCGTTCTCTCTCTTCACAAGTCTCGTAATTCCCTTTATTCTCACTTTGTCTTCTTTGAGGTTGTCATAAAATCTAATTCTAACTCTAT